ACAAATGCTTTGTTATAAAGATCTAGAAAAAAGGACAATTTTTATCACAATAAATGCTGACTACTAAATACGAGAGGAATGTATAGTTATATCAAAGGGGCGGGGCTAATAAAACAGAACATGCACAGCAATAATTTCTTCAAAAAATCAAGTTATTTGCGAGGAATCAATCCGAACTGTTGTGGACGGAGCAACGTGGCAACGACATCCTTCTCCAGCTGATCTAGCTCCGAGATGACACTTTCCAAATCGTTTTGAGTCTTTCCTGGTGGAGTGATCAGTTCGATGTAGTACTTGATCTTGGGCTCAGTTCCAGATGCACGGAGAGTCGTGACACTTCCAGTCTTCAAGAAGAATGTCACCATTTCAGAAGACGTCGAAAGCGGAAGAACTGGCTTGTTGTCAGGCTTCGAATTGTCATATCCAATCGTCAAATCTCTCACAGAGACTACCTCAGCCTCACCGATCTTTGTTGGGAATTTCAAGTCGGCTCTGAGGGTGCTGAACAGCTCCTTGGTGACTTCCGGTGCTGGAACCATCCAGTAGGTGGATCTAACCAAGTGGAATCCATATTTATTGTAGAGAGCATACAGTTGATCCTCGAGAGATTTCCCTTGAGTGTGAAGGAATGCGGCGATTCAGCGAACACTGCCGCTGCACTGACACCATCCTTATCCAAAGTGTGTCCTGGCATGTATCCAATTGACTCTTCCCATGCGAGAATCACATGGTTGCCTTCAGCGCGAAGCTCCTCCGCACGGTTTCCCATCCATTTGAATCCAGTCAGTGTCGTCTCGTTTTTGAAGCCTAAAATGAAAATTGGTGTTTTTCTCAATTCGATTGAAGGGGAATTCCGGCCGAAAATAATATTTTCATTACATTAAAATCTGTAGATCCATATAGCAGTGAAGAAAAAATTATAAAAATTGTGCATAACCTCTAAAAATCAATTCTCGTCCTTTTCTGGAAGGTTCTGGAACCTCGAATTTTTGAATTCCCGCCAAAACTGAAAAGCGATTTTTCAGACGAAAAATTGATTTTTTCTCCTTTTTGTGCAAAATTTTTAGACCATTTTTTTAGCTATTTTTTAAGATTCTTTTTCGATTTTTCCGAAATTTTTGTCTGAAATTTGATGGAATGGATTTCGTGAAGATTACGGTACGTTACTGTAGAAATCGAACTTTCTTTTGTAGATTTTTTTTTAAACACCATCACG